CTTAGCTCACGGAGCCTGGCCCGCACCCAGGGAGGGGGCCCTGCCAGCCTTCATCAGTGAGAGCTGGAGTCTGAACCGTATTCATTTGCCCTGTAGGCTGTTGTTGAGGAAGTATGGTTTGAAGACCAGGCAGCTTCCAACCCAGGAACCCCAAAGCTTAAAATTGCCCTTTAGAAATAGTGCTTTCTCTTGGAAGCCACTTTTTAAATACAAATGACCTTGGAAGAAGTAACACATTAAGTCCCTAACACCTTATTATAAATGGGTGGGTGTATAGCTTTCCCAAGGGGTCTGGGGGCCTGGGAAGGCAGGTGCCCTGAGTTGTAGAGGGAACAAAGAGAGGACAGGGGGCCCTGGCTCTCAAATCCACTCCTGCCACAAATGTGCCCGCATCCCATCCTGGATTGCTGCCCAACAGCCCCGTTCTGAGCCGGCCCTTCCTTCTGCCTCTGTCCTCTGTTGAAGACTCATTCCTCGTTAAGAGCACCCACCATCCCACTCCAATATCTCCTTCTCAGGGGCGCCTACCTGCAGAACCAGCGACCCCTGAGGCGTTTACAGCCTTTCGCTACCATGTTGGGGGGTGCCGGCCTATTCTGGGGAAGCATTTGTGGGGTCGAGAGCACTTGCTAAACATTTGCAGTTATTCTCAAACTCCAGCATGCATCAGAGCACTTGTTAGAACAGACCACTGGGCCCCGGCTCCAGGCTTTCAGTACGGCTGAGGCGGAGCTTGAGAATGGGCATCTCTAACAAGTTCCCAGGTGATGCCGGCGATGCTCCACCCCTTCCTCCCCTCCTTTCATGCCTGCACTCACTGCTCTCCAGCTTGTCCATCTACCACCCGACCCAAACCACTCTCACTGCGGGACCAGAACGCCCGTTTGTACAGCCGATGTACATTTCCTAGGCACAATCGAGTCTCTTGACTTGATCTTTTTTTCCTGGTGAAAAAAACTCCTGACACTTTTCTTAAATCCTCTGACACCACTCATGTTCCTGGTATTCCTTGGTCTCCAGCCTCTTCTTCCCATTCGCCTCTGACCAGCTTCTGTTTCTGTGCCCTGAACGCTTCTTCTCTCTCTTTTTTTTTTTAGCTGAGCCATCCCGCCACCTGTTGGCAGCTCACGGCTGCTCAGCTCGGGCTGACTCGAACCGCTGTTGCTCAGAGCTCAAACTCTTGTGCGAGCTCTTAACCAACTGAGGCTTCTTCTCTCTTCTGTGCTCTCACCCTCAGCTATTTCACCCAGTTACATAACACAGAAGCACCACCTATCTCTGTTCCCAGCCTAGACAGCTTTGCAGAGCTCCACTTAGATGTGTTTGGACACCCTCCCCTTCTCCTGTACTCCAGCCAATGGCATGTTTAGTTAACTGTTGCTCAAGTCAGAAATCTGATGTTGTGAGTAAAGTGTGAGATGGTTGGTGAGTACATGAAAATTTCCCTTGAGCCCATATTTTCTCCCACCATCCTGGGAGAGTAGGTTTGGGGAGGAGAGAGAGAAAGAGAAGGTGGGGAGGGAGAGAGAGACACACAGAGGCATGAGGTAGAGCATGTGGAAAATCCACTCCTGGGCAGTGGTTGACAATAGCAGTCAGGATCTGAGCGAAGCATCTTAGGCAAAGCCAGTGACCACAGGATCTGCACTCTCACACCGAAAGTATCAGCTCTTGTGTCTTAGTTTCCTCCTCCACTGAAAAGGGGATACTTTGTGGGATTAAATATGATACTAGGATGTCCTTGCCCATTACATAATAGATGTCATATAAAGGAAATTTGAGAGATGTCAGTCTTCCTGTTTCCCTCCCTCCTTCCTTCCCTTCTCTTTCTCAAGGACGATCATTTTCCTTTGACACAGAGCCAAGGTTGAGACAAGTAACCTTCCTTGCTTTGTGGGGCAGATATATTTTTTGTTCTACCTTTCCACTTGAATATAGCCCTTTGGGGATGCATCACAGCGTCCTATCCAACTACCCACCTTGGGTCAGCCTTACACTTGGTTTCCACATTCTCTAATTTCACAACCTTTTCTACCAATTTCCATCTGCTATCCGGCCTGGCTGTGTAAGTGAGAGTAAGCGCATCTATTGTATTGCCTCCCTGGCAAAATGAATCATAACTCCTTTATTTCAGAAATTATTTTTTTCTCCTCTTAAAAGCCCCATCCCATGTGACTCAGACCCAGGATAGCTCCTGGGTAAGTAAGACCCCACTGGTCAATTTGCAAGCATTCAGCATAAGCCACAAGGAAGCAATGCTTTTTATTCTGGGGCCTTAGACTTATTAGAGATAGAAAAAAACAACCAAAAGAAACTAAGGCATTGTCTCATCTGCTCAGCTGTTTTGCCCAGGGGTACTGGTCCAAGCCTGATTTTCCAAATCACTTTGCCGTGAATGGTAGAATAGTTCAGGCAAACAGAAGCCTCAAGAAAAATAAGGTAATGGTTTAGTGACTCTGGATTTGTCATGAATGAGCCACTGGGTGATGGGCTTTCACATGATCTTTGGCAGGTGAGGTTGGTTGGCAAACATGTTAAACAGGAAGGGGAGTAGCATTCAAGTTTTCATCATCAAACATTTGTAGTTAATTATGCAAAAACAAACAACCAACTGCTAGAAAAGAGCTCCTATGGAATAATGGGAGTCAAGCAAGCTAAGGTGATCACCTGCTGTGGCCGAGTGAGCCAACAAGATGCTCAGGATGTGTGGTCACTCTCTGGGAGCAGAGCTGGCTGGCCCATTCCGTGTTCTGGGCCCAGGATCTGTCTTAGATGGCTGCCTGTGGCATTGAACATGAACATCACTGATTTGCATGGAACCACACTTGAATCCAGCAACTTCAAACTCAGGGAAAGGGAAAGTGGCATTAGAATCCCAGAGGAGCTTGTTTACATACACACACACACACACACACACACACACACACACACACACACACACACACTTCCCTACCCGATGTGGGTCTGACTTTGCTGGAGTTCAGTGGGGCATTTGGACTCTCTTCCTTTATTGTCTACCCTTCTTCCCATGGTCCTGGGGGACACTGGGGAGCAGAAGAAGGAAATACACCCTTGTGGTGGGGCTTTCTCTGCTGGACACCTGCCCTGTGGACTAACAGTTTTCATGTCAGTAGGTGCCCATACAATGTACTGTGTGAAATTCCTCTTGAAAGAAAGGGGCCAAGTTACCTGAAAGCTGTGTCAACAAGTTGCCAGCCCATGGTAACTGCCTTCTCCTTTGGGTCTGTTCTTTTCCCTGGGAAAGGCCTGAGTAATAAAGGAACAGAAGCAACAAACTCTGCTCACTATCATTGATGGCAGGGCTATATGCACTGAAGAAGAATGCAGGGAAGAAGAATGGTAGGGCTGCAGGGGAGTGTAGGTGCTGTATGATGGGGAGTGGCTTCCCAGGCCCTGCAAGGAAGGGCAGAATTTACACATGTAGATGAGAACGTGGAAGACTTTCCAGGAAGAAGAAATGAGCAAAAACTTGGTGTTTTGCAGTAAGCAGAGGGTGTTCTGAGACAGTGGAGGGAGCTGGAGAAAATCCATGTTGGCTCTATGCAGCTTTGGTGGATGGAGCAGGCGTACAAGCCCACACTGGCCATTCCAGGCCTTGTCTGGGAATCTCTCTGGTAACCAGGAATGAGAAAGAGTGGCTTGCTGGGGCTACACTCACTTCTTCCCATGCCCTACAAGCAGGCCCAGCTGGGCTGGAGTTCTCATCCAGATCACTCTTGTCTTGCTCCAGGCTCAGAGGTAGCAAGAAAGGCTGGAAAGGCGAAGCTGTTTGATTTCCAAGGCTTTCTGAGCTAGCCAGGTGGAAGGCAGCCAGGGAGGCTGCAGCTGGTGACAGTTGGCCTGACCGCCTTAAATAGCAGGCAGCTACTCAAGGGAACAATTGGGCAGAAAGGGGGGTGGCGAGTCACGGAACACGGGCCAGTGGAATTCTGAACAAGGTCAAAGTCCAATTTGGTACAGTGCTTTATTACCAATTTAAAGCTCGTCTTTCCTCCCAGGGCGGTTGCCACCCTTGCAGAAGAGGCCAGGGCTACCACAGGAGAAATTTGCATTTAAAGACTCCAAGTGCCCAGCACTCTGATAGGATGCAGCCTGGCCTGCATGGTCATTCCAGTGCCCGGAAGTCACATGCTGAATATGCTCCTATTTCACCCGTGTCTTGATGTCTGCTTGCTTGTGGGATAAAAACCCCAAATCCTTCTTACTTCTTCCAACCTGGGGAAGGATCTTGGAGTGTGTAAAGTGGGAAGTGGTGGGGTCTGGAAGGTGGGAGTCATATGTTTTTCTTTTTTTAAAAAATATTTTAATTAAAAATATAGTTAGTATACAATATTATATTAGTTTCAGGTGTACACGATAGTTATTCAACTATTATATACCTGAAGAAGTGATCACCATGATAAGTCCAGCAACCATCTGACACCAGACCACACTATCACATTATTATTGACTATATTCCCCATGCTGTGCATTACATCCTCATGACTTATTTGTTTTATACTTGGAAACTTGGACCTCTTATTCCCCTCCCCTTTTCATACCCCCACCCTTTTAAATTTATCAATTACAGTTGACATTCAATATTATTTTATATTAATTTCAGGTGTACAGCATATAGTTAGACAATTATATAACTTAAGAAGGGATCCCCCTGACTAGTCTAGTACCCACCTGACACTATACATAGTTATTACCATATTATTGACTATATTCCCTATGCTTTATTTTACATCCCACTAGTTGCCAAATGATCTTTAATTGAAATATTTTCCTTTCTAGCCGAGCATCCCACAGAACCCGTGTTGATGTCATCTATGATGTCATGAGGGTGGCGGTCATCAACATGGCAATCCACAGACTGCAGTCGCCAATATCTCTTTAATGGTTCCAGAGAGTTCTCTAGCTAAAGATTGGTGCTGCATCTGTTGGGCAATGTTGACAATTTCATGAAAAGTTATATTTCCCCTGTGCTTAATGTCTTTTGCTTCTTTCTGTCTCTTGGCGGTTCTTTGAGGGCTTTGATGATCAGGGCAGAGGCAGAAGGTGCCACCTCAATCTGGGCCTGTCTGTTCTGAATGCTCACTTTGACTGTTATCCTCAGACCCTTCTAATCACTGGTTGCTTTAGCGATGTCACCACCCACCTTTTTTGGAGATAGACCCAGGGTCCAATCTTGGGGGCCAAGGCAGATGTGGCACCGACTTCCCCTCCAATGCACCTCAGGTATATGACTTTGTTCTCATTGGGGTTGAATTTCAGCAGCATAATGGAGGCAACTGGTGTCAGATGAACCCGGATTCGGGACGACTGAAGAAAGTCGCACCTTGGCCTCCTCTGAGCCAAAAGCCAAAAAGCAGTCATATGTTTTTCTTAACTGGGGCTGGAAGAAAGTCATAAGGGAATGGCAGTCAATGGGGAGTTTAATGGGGATATTAAAGGGCCCAACTGGAATATGGGAGGGGGAATGATATTGAATTGGCCCATAGAAAGAGGCAAGAGTCTGGGTGAAATTGAGGACCTAGAATCCTACAGAAGTGGTAGATGGATTTATTCTGCGCACGTGGGTCAGTCTGAAAGAAGTCTCCTCTTCCTGCCTCTCCCCTTGGGGCAGTTCTTGCTCAATCTTTGACTTCACCTGGAGCGTGTCAGGAAATATGAATGCCTGATTACCAACGCCCCACAGAGCCTGCTGTAGCAAATCCACAACTCTTTCCCCATCAATCCCACCATCTCTATTGCCATTACCGTTACCTGAGGGAAAGGGATGGAAAGCTCCTGCTCCTGCTCCTGCATTATAAACCGCCTTGGGTTGGAATCCTTGTGACCCCTCTACCATTAAACCAACACACATTTATTGGGTACCGAGGTGTTGGTGAAAACTTAGCCACACAGCTTAAAGTCTAGGCTGCTTTCGTGATTTCAGCTGTACAGAACAGTCTGTCAAGAGAGAGAGCATATGTACGGTACAATGTGTTCCTGACATCAGGGCCTTTGGGGACAAATCTCACGAGGAGATTTGCTTGTTAGCACCCTCAAAGTCAAAGCCTGTCGCAATCCTTTGGCTGCTTGTTGGGCTGGGACATCAGCTGTGGGTTACCTAGCACCCTGTCCAAGGACAACTACACATACACACACACTCCTGCCTGAGGCACCTGAAGGTACATTCTATGTATCCTGTAGCTAAGTGGATGGTCAACTAGCTAAGTGGATGGTCAAGTTGGTGGGACTCAGGGAGCGCACTTAGATTTAGCTACCGGCCTCAGAGGTTCCTCACTTTCCCTTTTCAGCTGGCAATGGGGGACTGAGATTGATGTGACAGGGACCCTCTGTTATCTCTTTTGGTCTGATTGGAAGAAACAAGGAATGCTAGAGATCAATTATTCAAGAACACGTGGGCCCCTCAAGGCTTCCAGGTCATGCTGAGGAGGGACGGCTGAAGGGTTCCCTTAGGCTCTGGCGAGTATTCCTTGCTGGTAGGAGCTCTGGGAGAGCAGGTACTCAGTGATAGGCACTAGACGAATGGGCTGCAAATTGTCTTTGCTGGGACACATTCCCCACACTAAAAAGCCAGTCCCACCTAGCCCCACTTGCCTCTTACTATGAAAGTGGCAGGAGCTTTTGTGGGGCACATGTAGGACCCCACCGCAGGTCAGAAAGCCTCAGTAGCTCTAGGTTCCCACAGCCTGAAGCCCAAAGTTCTTTGGGTGCCACCCTGGACACTGTATCGTCTGCTTCTACCTGTCTTGTCCAGCCTCATCTGCCTCTTTGCTCTCACACGGATCTTTTTCTCAGACTGACCCACTCTCTGCCCGCCTCACCCCTAACTCACCTGGGATGTCCCACCGGCTAAGGTCTCAAGTGGTAATTGCATTACAGGTGTGGAATACCTGCTTCTTCCTTAGCTGCCTATCAAATTCTACCAGCCCATCTAAGTCCAGTTCTGGGGGATCTTCTTCAACGGAAGTGATTTCTGCATTTCTCAAAAATGGCTCTTTTTATTATTCATCTCCTACCCCCCAGTGTTTAGCATAGTAAGAAGCAGCAGCACACTAAGATTTAGTTGAATTCACAAATACACATTGGTGGTCTATATTAGGGGTTGGCAAATTGCGGCTTGCGAGCCACATGTGGCTCTTTCAGGGAATATAAGCTCATTGCTCACACTGATTTAAAACCAATGAGAGCAATTTTTGTGTGTGAATTTTTCTTATTTTAATAAAGATATAATTAATACGATTATTTGTTATAATATTACTTTAAATTTTACTTATTTGTAAAAATATATATTTATGGCCCTCGAATAATTTTTAAATTATTGTGAGGGACAGGACTGGCTCTTCCGTCTCAAAAAACTTTGCCGACCCCTGGTCTGTGACTATGTGATTAATTTGGCATTCTGACTTGAGTGTGTTTGTTTCATGATCATATATTATCTCTTAACTGATGAGCTCACAGAAGGCACAGACCCTGCATTTCACTTCTCTATACGACATCAAAGCACACAGCCCAGAACATTGTGCATGGTGTTCAATGACAGATGTGTTTTGATAATCAGGAAGGAGGAGAGATAAGAAAAGTAGGTTCTTTCCCTCCTACCTTCCCTCCCTCTCTGTCTCTGTTTGGCTGTCCCTCTATTTTTCTTTCTAACTCGCCTTGACTTCCTTCATCTCTAACCCATCCCAACTCAAGTAATCAATGTTAACAGACTAGTGTCTGCCCTTCCACTAGTCTGTTAACATTGATTACTTGTGGTGATTTATTATTATTTTAAAAAATAGAACCATTCTCTATATACTTGTCTGCATTATATTATTCTTACTTAATCTAGTCTGGAAATTCCTCCAAGTTAAATGCCACATTAACCTGCGTAAATACAATGCATTTTTAAAAAATGTCTAAATACTCTTCCTTGAAATGGCTAACTTTTGAACAGATTTCTATTGATGGGTTATCAGATTGTTTTCTGTTTTGTGCAACACAGTAGTTGTCCCTTCTCTGCAGGGGATACATTCCAAGACCCCCAGTGGATGCTTGAAACCATGAATAGTACTAAACCCTATACATACTATATTTTTTCCCCATACCTACATACCTATGATAAATTTTAATTTATAAATTAGGCACAATGAGAGATTAACAACAATAACTAATAATAAAATAGAACAATTATAACAATATACTATAATAAAAGCTATGCGAATGGCTTGGGGCCATTATTATTAATAAGTAAAATAAGTGTCACTTGAGCACAAGCACTGACATACTGCAATAGCGGTTCTGATTAACAGAGTTGACTACTAAGTGACTAATTGGCAGGGAGCATACACAGCGTGGAGACAGTGGACAAAGGGATGATTCACATCCTCGGTGGGACTGAGTGGGACTATGAGATTTCATCACAGTTACTCAGAATGCCAAGCAAGTTGAAATTTATGAATTGTTTATTTCTGGAGTTTTCTATTTAATATTTTCAGACTTTGGTTGTCTGTGGGTAACCGAAACCTCAGACAGCCAAACCATGGATAAGGAGGGACTACTATATAAATGATGCTTCTGTATTGGCTGGCTGACTTTGGTAAAAGTGGATGATTGGAGAGTGGCGTTTAACTACTCAGACATCAGCAAGGTGGTGAGGAGCCTTATGAGATGATGGCAAGTGTCTTCCTGCCCTCCCCACAGCTTCTCTACAAACAGGATGGGTGGATTCGCCTGCCACCTCCCTGGGTGGAGGCAATGTGAATCTTTGCCAAGTTGAAGAGCCAAGGTGAAGAAAGGCATACTTTCTGGAGGTTCTGTGTTTCATGGACCTGACTAATGTTCTAGAAAGCTCCTGGGGAAGCTTGATGTTCTTACCAGCACAGCTAAAGCATACTTTCCCTGCACGTCTGGGGGGCCATGGTGCCATCTTGGAGAAGCTGAGAAAATGTGTGGGGTACGTCCAGGCTAAGGGGTCAGTGGTCTGGGTTTAGCGTGGGTAAGTCTAGGTTTGTTTTTTCTTCCCTCTTTTTCCCTTTTCTTTTCCCCCCAAGAAAAGTAGCAAAAAGAAGTAAGTCCCAGATACCAAAGCTGTGGGAATGGCCACCAAGTCAAACGAGGTAGCACTCCTTTAACCAGTCAGCTGCTCACATAGATGGTACAAGCCAGACCCCTTGGCCAGCCTGATTTCACTGTGGTTCACGTCATTCACATTGCGCCCTGCGTCTGGGCTGGAGCTGTGGTTGTGGGTGCAGTCAGCTCCCTGTGCCGGGCCAGGGCCTGGAAAAAAGTCAAACTGTGGCTAACCGTACAGAAATAACCAGCCACTCCTGGGCTGGGACAGTTTTCCACTCACCTTGCTCCAGATTTCCAGGGCCTATATCTGTCTGTGTTTATGTCTTGGCCTTGTGAGTGAAGTCTCCTTCCTGGGGAGGCCTGTCCTTGGGGGCTAGGACCGGTGGCCACCTACTCCCCACCTATTCTCCCAAGGAGGGGCTGGGCTGTCATACCTGAGTCCTTCAGAACATTGCAACCTTTTGAGAGAGCTGGATAGGGTCTGTCCCCCTGGACCGGAGCATCGCTGGGTGGGGGCCAATACCGTGTGCCCGGCAGATAATGTCCTTGTGGTATGATTCGGGACGAGGAAAATTCCCGCTGCCAAATACATCTACCCTCCCCTGTGTTGCTCAAAATTCTACCAAAGGTGTGACTCAGATTAAAAAACAAACAAACCAGTTACAATAATAATAATAATGACAATGTTTCTTGTTTGAATTGTGCTTTCCAGGTTTCGTTAGCTTGGTTAATCTCCGTGTCAGTTTCACAATAGGTGGGCCAAAAATTATTTCTACTGTTTCATAGATTGGGTCACTTGAAGCGTCAAGGAGAAGAAGCAGGCTCTGGCCAAGGGTCAGGTGGGTTGGGTCCCATCTCATTCTGTCACTGTTGCTATGGAAGAGAACAAATGACTCTTACTCTGAACTTAGTTTCCTGATTTGAATGTACTTCGTAATTTATAAAGTTATTTTCATTTAAATGTGACATAGATAAATGTCATATGTATTTACGTATTCATCTGGAAGAGTCTCCAAGATAAGTTGCTAAATACAAAGAGTACCATGTGGATTATGGGTATAGCCTGCTACTATTTGAGTTTTTTTAAAATAGCTATACATGCACCCACATGTCTGATTGTATTTGTGTATCTCCATCACTGGGACGATATACACATCATGTTGTTGGCAGGGGTGAGGGAGGAGATGGCGATGGAGGGTGGTAGGGGGCGGGTAGGAGGCTGACTTTTCTCTGTATGCATTTCTACCTTTTAATTTTCTACCATGTATAAACAAAATTTAAAAATAAAAATATTTTATGTTGGAGGGCTTAAGGTTTTCTTTTGGAGCCAATGGGATGATGTAAATGATATGAGATGCTTTATGTGCATCAAAGGATTATTATTATCTGAGGGGGCCCCTTAAAGACTATTATCAGCCATGAGACTTGACAACGTTGTGCACTGGGAAAATTATGGGCTTAGGAATTGAAGAGGCATGAGTTAAACTTGGCCTCTGTTTTCTCATCTAAAAATCTGGGGGAGAGGAGGGAATGATAGCTATTATGAGAAATAAAAGGAAAGCATGAAACACCGGGTGCAACGCAGAGCGTGCCCTTCTTGCTTTCCGTGACCTGTGTCAGCAGGGCTCAGAGAAATGGAAAACTGTTCTGCGTCACAAGTAAGTTTTGACAGCAAAGAAGGTCTGTAGGGCAGCACTACCCCCTAGAAATATAATGGAAGCTACATATATAATTTTAAGTTTTCTTAGTGGCCACATAAAAAAAAAAACCAAAAAACGCAAACAGGTGACATTAATTTAAATA